TTCTAGATGGATTTAATTGCATTTTACTAAACAGGTGGTTTGAGATCTTGCGTTAACAAACTGAACTGACCTTACCTATAAAAGCGAGCACGCGAGTCCCAGGAACTAGTTGAAGAAAATATGTGACCTCTGTGACAAGAATTTTCGAAATCCGTCGCGGACCCTTCATCAGAGACATATATAGATAATTCATACACACGGAGTGGCAGTGTTTATAGGATACAGTCACTATGAGAGCACCAATTACAATTCACGGCTCCGTCCTATCGAGGATAGTTGCCCACGTGTGCGCCAATTACTTGATAACCGGCGTGCGGGCCTTGACCTTCTGCACTTTTATCACACGTGGTGGAATTGCATATGACGTGTGCTCGGCCATCTAATTCCCTGTCGCTAGTGTTCGAGAACGCGTTGGGCTGTGCGTTCCCCAAGTGACGGCAAGCTTTGGCCAAAGTGAGCCTCAGCAGCAAGTATGGATTGGGCAGGTCCTTGCACTGGTTTATAGGCTGGGAGCCATAAACCATGATTTGAACCACGACTGAAGTAATTTGTGATTCGCATGATTGTTAGCACTCGCGAGGATTTCCGCCCCATTAAAACTTGAATGTGCGGGCGCGCGGTTCTCGTCAGATGAGCCGCAATTTGCGAAGTGGCGTCATCTTTCCGCACTGCTGTCGCATGTTCGGTAATTCGCGTCTTGAGGAGTCTTCCAGTTTCTCCGATGTAGTTGTTTTGTCTGCAACTGCAACAGATCCTATGGACGACTCCGGGTTTGTCTTTGCTTAGTCTGCTTACTATGGCGGATTTTATGCTATGTGATTAAATCTCAACCGAAATTCTGAAATGGAGTTTTTTCTCCAAAATTATTTTAATAGCCCCTTAGGACAAAGTTTATTGTAGTCTTATCCCAGGATATAGTAGTCACGGCAGGATACCGGCTTCTGGTCGAACTGTTTGCAGATAGGCTGCAAAAAGACCTACTCTGAATTAAAACTTTACTTACGTAGGATGAATTTTTCGCATTGATTTCCGACAGCCCTATAAATTCTAATATATTTGATCGAAAACGTGGATAACATCGTCTTCCCTATGCTCGTTTTGTAACGAAATGGTATTTTGTATTTGAAGAAGGGCACAGTTGGCCCTAAAATGTTTCTAAATCTTCGAATAAATGTGAGCCATACCGGTCACTGGACTTGAATTCAAGGTTTAGAAAATACAAACTGTATACACGCTATTTAAGGAAATTTCGACACGTCTCTACCAAATCAAGTAGAGATCAAATATTTCGCCCCAAGTTTTTCAGTGGATTTGGGCCAAGATGCGTAGTTTATGGGAAACCTTAATAACTTAGCGCATCTAATGTATTACGCACGATCAGTTCATAGTCTTAAAAGGTTTGATGGAAACTTTTTAAAAATCGGACGCTACGCATCCGATAAGTAAATAACTTGAAGAAGACGCAATGGTTTAACAAAAAGCGAGAAGAAATAACATGTTTGTGTATATTTTTGATTAAGTATATTCGAATTTATGAGGCCATCAAAAATTAGTGAAAAAATACAGACTTGGTAAGTAGGGATTTTGTACAAAGTATCATTCAGGTAGACGGTCACAAAGAAGTTCATTCAAAGCCAACATCTTAACGTGTCTGAAAAATGTTAGGATTAGTTTGCTTAGCAAATAATATTGCAAATATATTTAATCAATCTGTTCGAATGAAAACAGATGCAGTATTTAGGTTGACATTTTGTGAGATAGGCTATCTACTTGACATAAACATAATTGAATTGGAACTGACAAAGACAAGGGAGATTGGTCTGGCCATTTCTGACCTTTAAGCCGTCATCAGCCATGCATCCCCAACCCCAAGTGTGGGCTACCCAAGATTCGAACCCACTACCCTTTGGTCATGACGTGTACCACTCTAACTTTGAGCGACGGGACCGTGATCGGGAATATGATGACAATGTGAAATTGACCGATATGGTAAAGGAACATTTGTGTAGAGTGCTGCACTCCATGACCAAAGCTTTGCCGATTCGAATCTCGGGCAACTCACAGTTAAGTTTAGGGATGCATGGCTGATGACGGCCAACAAGCCAGAAACGGCGATTCCGGTCTCCTTTGTCTTTGTCAGTTCCACTCGCTTTGCGATCGCCCGCTGGGGCCCTAAAGTGAGATCCAGAGCAAAACGGACCACATATATTCCTTTATAATTTACAGAAATATTTGAAGGAGATTGCGTTTTTGTGAACAGTGACACATTTTCCTGAGTTTATATTAAGTAGCGGTTTCCCAAGGTGTACTCTGCTTAACAAATTTGGGCCTACTCGAGGTTTTCGGCAGTAATCAGCGGAACTGCGCGTCATTCTGTGGAGATTGAGTTTTGCCTCTTACGTTTTCCCCTCAGAGGTTTTTTAAACGGCATCTAAATCGATGTGCTGATTGATGCACGAACCACCAAAGTCCATCACTTAAAGAAAGTCTCGGCTCCTTTTGGACGGGCAAGCTCCGTTCATGTGAATTTTGTGCAAGGTGAAGTTGGGC